CTTGAGGATAGTAACATTTGTAGATGATATTTGTAGGTCTAAAGTTATCAAATATCCATCAAATTCTAGCTCAAAAATATGTTTAAATAAATAACCATCGTGATTAGTTGATCTTGCTTACGTGATCATCTCGTGAGCATTTCTCCACCGGACGGCACCGCACCGTGCCAGCCACGGAAGAGCTCCGATTCTACGAGGAAGGAACACGGTCTTCCACGACCGTTGCCGCTCTCCCTCAGAGAACCAAAGCTCCTCCTTGACGTTCGTTATCGCTAAGCGAGAGAACATGCTAGCCGAGATGAACACCGTCCGCAAGTTCAACTAGTACGGATTTTCTACAATTTTCTAACTATTTTCTAAGTTTTTCATTTCATGGAAAAATTAATTCTAAAAAATAAAAGGCATGATTTCTAAGTATTTCATTTCATGGAAAAATTAATTCTAAGTGACCTGCTCGACATCGTTGAGCTCGCGGGCGTTTCATGGAAAAATTAATTCTAAGTGACCTACTCGACAAAATTGAGAAAAAACACACGCTCTCATGACCTCACACATGTTCTAAGATCACGTAAGCTTTCGTACTAGTTGACCTTGTTTACGTGATCATCTCGGCGGGCATTTCTTCACCGGACGGCACCGTACTTGGCCACAGAAGAGCTCCGATTCTACGAGGAAGGGAACACGGTCTTCCACGACCGTTGCCGCTCTCCCTCGTAGAATCAAAGCTCCTCCTTGACGTCCGTTACCGCTCGGCAGAGAACATGCTAGCCGAGATGAACACGGTCCGCAAGTTCAACTAGTACGGATTTTCTACAATTTTCTAACTAGTCCGCACCAAGGAGGCGGAGGTATGCCCCCCAGTAGGAGAACTACGTGCCCTGCTACTACAACGTCACGGACGCCGTCGAACGTCTCAGATCTAGGGGCCGGCGTCCGCAAGTTCAACTAGTACGGATTTTCATGTATTTTTGAGCTAGTCTCAAGCATTTGAACGTGGCCATCATGGTCAAGCCGAGCCCCCACTCGCCTCGGGCGTGCGCATGTGCTGAAGGCTTGAAATGGACGCCGTTGTCTCTCCCTTCCTCTGCATTCTCTCTTTCTCCCTTGCTGTTCTCCTTCAACCAGGCACGGCGGCAGCATGGCCGCCGAGCTGCTCCATGGCCGCCCGGTTCCCCTACTCCCTCTCCATGGCCGTCGGTCCGAGCACACACTCATACACAAATAAAATCTACAAATAAATACACACACACTGTTGCTCACATATAGCACGGCGAGCAACACAAGCACGATGGCCAGAGGTGATCTCCCTTGCTATTCTCCTCCTTCAGCCAGGCACGGCAGTAGCATGGCCGCCGAGCTGCTCCATGGCCGCCACGTTCCCATGCTCCCTCTCCATGGCCGTCGATCCGAGCACACACTCATACACAAATAAAATCTACAAATAAATATACACACACTGTTGCTCACATATAGCACGGCGAGCAACACAAGCACGATGGCCGGAGGTGATCTCTAGACGACGAGGATGAGCGCCCTGACAAAGGGTTTTAATCAAGTTGACGACGAGGATGAGCGCGTTGACGTGGAGGACGACGAGGATGCGACAGGGACGACGACGAGCGCCCTGACAAAGGGGACGATGACGAGCGCTCAGGTGAAGGGGGTGACGAGCGCACGGCGAGGCGTGCGAGCGCGTGGAGCCAGGGACAAAGCTGGTGACGACGAGGACAAGGATCGACGACGGCGATGAGGCCACGGTGGATCCAAATCAGATCTGGGCGAGGGCGAGGATGATGGCAGCGGATCCGGGTCTAGGCGCCGCGTACGAATGGGAGAGGCGCGAGCCGGGCCGCGAAAACGTAGCCCACCTTTAGTCCTGGGCGGTTGATCGACCCTGGAGTAAAGGTGGGCTGCAGATTATTTTCTGCCAGATTCGAAGTTTTTCCCTTTTATTTATTTCTTTTATATAAATATCCAGAGAGTTATTAATTGCCTAATAAATAAAATATCATCCAAAAATTATAATAAATATTCTGGACTTGGTTTTGCATTATTATACACAAAGAAAAATTTGTAACCTAAACACTTTTGTTTTACTATATAAATATTTAACATAATGTAAATAATAATTACAATTTGCACCATGCAAAAATATACTATTTGATTAAAATCATTAAAACTATTACTTTTTGACAGAAATAAGTTTTCACATCTTATTAACGTTGATCATTTGGTTTTTCATCACACATTCTCCACGGAAATCCACCGTCAAGCGTAAAATTCATTTAAACCGTAGAAAATATGAAAACACGAAAAAAAATCTGAAGTCACAATTATTACATAATAGGTCTAATACATCACTATATATATCAAGCGGGCATAGTAGCGAACTTCTTAACGTATATCCCTTAGTTATGATTGCTTGCAGTAACCATGGAGTGTCCTCATCATTTATTTGGATGCTTGGGTCTTTATTCACCGTGAAGGGTGGAATTGGTCATCCTTTTCATAATCTTCCGATATGCCCGATTTGTGCGCAATTTCGACGATGTTTCTTTTCCCTGAAAAAGAACTACGTGGCGCTTTGGCTCATTGATTGGGTCGTTGTTGTTTTCCCTCTCTTGGTATTGTAGGCATGTCGTTGACATAGAACATCTGATTCATATCCTTGGCAAGGACGAACGGTTCGTCTTTGTACCCAATATTATTGAGGTCCACGGTTGTCATTCCATACTGGTTGTCGACTGCTACCCCGCCTCCAGTCGCCTTTACCCATTGGCACTTGAACAAAGGTACCTTAAAAGTAGGTGCATAGTTTAGTTCCCATATCTCCTCTATACGGCCATAATATGTTTGCTTATTTCCATTAGGGTCGGTGGCATCTATGCGGACACCACTATTTTTGTTGGTGCTCCTTTTATCTTGGGCTACTGTATAAAATGTATTCCCATTTATCTCGTACCCTTTGTATGTGAGGATATGCCACGATGGCTGCCTAGTCAACAAATACAGTTCCTCATCAATACTCTCATCACCCTGACATTCTTTTCACAACCCGCTAAAAGTTTTCATGTGCTGACGCATAATCCAAGCTTCAGACTTCCCGGAAACTCGGATCGAGCAACTCTTTATGTGTCTCGATATACGGATCCACCAAGGAGGAGTTTTGCAGAATCTGTATAGTGTGCTTTATTAAAATAATTGTCCTACGTACCAATATATGTTTTCTTCCCTAGTGTACCCTTTCCACTTAGTCTCCCCTCGTGTCGCGATTCAGAACACCAATCGAGTCAAGGTCGGGAATAAAGTCAACACAAAACTCAATGACCTCCTCTCTGTTCCATAGCCCTTGGCAATGCTTTCTTCGGCCGAGCACGGTTGTGAACATATTTCTTTAGGACTCCCATGAACCTCTCAAAGGGGAACATGTTGTGCAGGAACATAGGACCGAGAATGCTAATCTCCTTGACCAGATGAACTAGGAGGTGTGTCATGATATTAAAGAAGGAAGGAGGGAACACCAACTCAAAACTGACAAGACATTGAACCATATCATATTGTAGTTTAGCAAGTTCCATTGGATCGATTGCCTTCTGAGAAATTGCATTGAGGAATGCACATAGCTTTACGGTGGCTAGACATACATTTGGAGGTAGAATTCCTCTTAATGCAACTGGAAGCAATTGCGTCATGAGCACGTGGAAGTCATGGGACTTTAAGTTTAGGAATTTCTTCTCTAGCACATTTATTATACCATTTATATTCGAGGAGAATCCAGATGGTACCTTGATGCTTAATAGGCATTCAAACATGCTTTCCTTCTCTTCTTTGCTAAGAGTGTAGCTGGCAGGACTTAAATAATGGCGTCAATCATCTGTCTTCTCTGGATGTAGGTTGTCTCATTCTTTCAAACATCGCAAGTCCTGTCGTGCTTCAAGTGTGTCCTTAGGCTTCCCATACACACCCATGAAGCCTAGCAGGTTCACACAAAGATTCTTCGTCAGGTACATCACGTCGATCGCGCTACGGACCTCTAGGACATGTCAATAGGGTAGCTCCCAAAATATGGACTTCTTCTTCCACATGGGTGCGTGGCCGTCGGCGTCATTCGGAACAGGTTCGCTGCCATGTGCCTTTCCAAATACTACTTTCACATCCTTGACCATATTGAGTACATCCTCACCAGTTCGGTTGCCCGGCTTGGTCTGGTGATCTGCCTTACTTTTGAAATGCTTGTCTTTCTTTCTTAGGGGGTGATTCGCAGGAAGAAATCGACGATGGCCAAGGTACACAACCTTTCGACATTTTTTCAAGAATATAACTTTAATGTCATCGAAACAGTGCGTGCATGCATTATATCCCTTGTTTGATTGTTCTGAAAGATTACTTAGAGTAGGCCAATCATTGATTGTTACGAACAACAATGCTCGCAGGTCATGTGTATGCATTTCCTTGTATCTAGAAGCATCCAGAACCCATTGTGTGCTACTCAGTGTCCAATCGTTGAGTAATACTAATACTTGTTGGTTCATGACAATCACCTGCTACATCAAGTTGATATACCATCCTGAAAACCCTTGCCCTGTGCGTATCAAAAAGATTCGCACAGCCTACAAAACTTTTTGGGAAACGTACAGACAATAGTCTGTTTGGATTTCCCAAGAGTCTAAAGTTTATTGACTAAATTTTAGATCACTTTAGCTCTCGAGTCAACCAAGATTCAATTATGCTGAACAGCTGTTTTATAACGAAAGAAAGTGAAAACAAACAACTAATGCAAGGATGGACGGCATTTTATTTATGCAAGAACGATGCCATTATTTAGTAATAATTTATAGGAAAGAGACACGTACACAAAACACATTCATTATCCGGCAGATACAGAGACATGCTACATGGCATGTCCGCGTTATTCGTCATATTTTATTCAAGTTCTGGAGCGAGGAGCGAAGAAAGCTGGGCATGCAGCAGCAGCAGCAGCAGCGAGCTTATCAGCCGACATGGGGCGTCTGGGCGACGGTATCGACGAAGATGCGGACGCGGTTGGGGCGGTATTCCAAGGTCACAGGCGAGCCGGTGGGCAGCACGACGATGTCGGCATCGGGCTTGTCTTGAGGATCACCTTCTTGGCTTCCTCCACGCTGAGCCCGACCACCTCTGGCCACGACGTCTTGGGGCCGCCGCACTCCGGTGCCGCCGTCGCCGTGGAGCTCATCGGTTGTCGGTCGCGAATTGAAACTGCAAATCAACTGATGACGATAATTTAATATATATAATGATGCTCTGGCCTGTGAATTAAAAGGAAATTAGCAAACTACTGGTAGCCACTATATTAGTATTGCAAAAGGCCAAAAGCGTAAGGTATAGAAAGGCTAACTCACGGGCAAGTGTGGCTTGTTATTGTGCTTCTTCTGCTACTGGTTAAGCGAGTATGCACCGGTGAGGTATTTATAGAGCCGCTGCAACCAGCAGGGGCAGATGCGTACGTGTGTGTGTTCTTTCATCAGGATTATTGGTGGTCTAAAGCTAGGCGGATGTAATTAAAAAGAAAAGAGAAAGATAATGTTGTTGACGGTGCCAAGAAATCGTAGCTGCTCCATCGCTCAGTCACCAATAATGCATCCATTATATTATATACGCACGAGACACACGAGGTGGCCCCTGCAGCCAGTAGAAAACAAGAAAAGAAAAAGATAGCAACGCTACAGAAACATGCATCCTCCCCGGCAACCAAATAGCTAGTCAGGCAGTCAGCAGCTTCAGTACGCGCAGCAGACACCGACAGAAACTTGACAATTATAGTGAATCATTAATGGTCCCTCCACGTTTTTCTCGTTATATTCTTCTCCTCTCGCCGACAACTAGCTAGTCTAGGATCAGCCCATCTTTAGCTACATATAGTTGCTCCTTCTACATATCCTTGATAGTGATACATGCCCCATTATCTGTGGATTAGATTCTGAGACGGAAGACCACTTAATCCTCAGGTGCCGCTTCTCCAAAACTCAGTGGAACCGGATGGGCTTTGAGACTGAAAACGTCCAGGTGACCTCGCTCTGGAACATCACCCTGCCGACGGGATTCCCCACCGCTCACTCGGCAAGTTTCATTCACCTGATATGTTGGATGTTATGGAAACACAGGAACGATGTGGTCTTCAACAATATGGCGCCCTCATACAATCGTCTCCGGGGAGCATGCAAAGACGCCGTGAAACCTATGGAAGTTTTGCTTGCCTATTGCTGATCGGGGTGTAGCTGCCCACTGGTGTAATGTAGTTTCTTTATGAATTAAGTCCTATAAAAACTGTCCTACCCTCCTCCAATGTACTCTGTCATATGGAACTGAGCAATAAGCTTTTGTTGCTCCAATGCAATCTAGTAGGTGGGGAGTGCTTCTCCTCCGGTTATCCTACAAAAAATATATTATTACAAGAACTATCATAGCTAGAGAGAGATTATTCAGTTAACCTGCATATGGAGAAACCAAGTAACCGACCGCGAATCTATCGACCGACCACTTAAACTGTCTTGTTAATTGACCCCAAATGCTATGCTTGTGGCACGGTGGCAGAATTTTTCTTCCATAAATGTAGTTTTTGTTAACTTTCAATATCACTGTCATGGACCTGCTCATGGGTTGTCCTCTGGGCCGTTCAACACGTGATGGAGTATGCACTGGGCTTGATTTGGCCGCTTGGCCCATAGAACTAATAGCAACTTGCCGCGGACGCGCGTGGAGCGCAGAGGCAATGCCCCGGTGGTGGGAGCTGGCCGGCCGGGGTTCGAACCCCGGTTCTGCACCACTTGCTGCGTGCAAGCAAATAATATCCAAGCGTCTGCCTCTCTCATGTGATGCCACGATTGGATCGTGACGTTCCCGTCGCCTACGAAATCAGTGGATTTCGGTAATCTCAAGAAGGACATGGTCTTCAGATCCCGACTGTAGCTATATATTTGTTTGTACACGAGTGGTGTGTGTAGTGGGCGTGCGTGTGTACGAACAGATGCTACAGCTGTACCCAGATGAGAAGCAATCAAAAAAAAAAAATAGCAACTTGTTGTACAGAAGGAAAGTGAGCATCAACGCGGAGGGTGTCTGATGACCAGGGAATCTAAACTCAGCGGCGGCAGCAAGAGCTCGAGGCGAGCATACGCTCGATATATCCTTTTCTCCTTTTCGTTGTTCTATATACTTCATGTGTATGCATTTCCTTGTATCTAGAAGCTTCCAGAACCCATTGTGTGCTACTCAGTGTCCAATCGTTGAGTAATACTAATACTTGTTGGTTCATGACAATCACCAGCTAGCTACATCAAGTTGATATACCATCCTGAAAACCCTTGCCCTGTGCATACCAAAAAGATTCGCACAGCCTACAAAACTTTTCGGAAACGTACAGATAAAAGTCTATTTGGATTTCCCAAGAGTCTAAAGTTTATTGACTAAATTTTAGATCACTTTAGCTCTCGAGTGAACCAAGATTCAATTACGCTGAACAGCTGTTTTATAATGAAAGAAAGTGAAAACAAACAACTAAACCGCTTACATTTATTCATTCGTGCATGGACGGACGGCATTTTATTTATGCAAGAACGATGCCATTATTTAGTAATAATTTATAGGAAAGAGACACGTACACATAACACATTCATTATCTGGCAGTTACAGAGACATGCTACATGGCATGTCCGCGTTATTCGTCATATTTTATTCAAGTTCTGGAGCGAGGAGCGAAGGAAGCTGTGCATGCAGCAGCGAGCTTATCAGCCGACATGGGGCGTCTGGGCGACAGTGTCGACGAAGATGCGGACGCGGTTGGGGCGGTAATCCATGGTCACAGGCGAGCCGGTGGGCAGCACGACGATGTCGGCATCGGGTTTGTCCTTGTGGATCACCTTCTTGGCTTCCTCCACGCTGAGCCCGACCACCTCCGGCCACGACGTCTTGGGGCCGCCGCACTCCGGTGCCGCCGTCGCCGTGGAGCTCATCGGTTGTCGGTCGCGAATTGAAACTGCAAATCAACTGATGACGATAATTTAATATATATAATGATGCTCTGGCCTGTGAATTAAAAGGAAATTAGCAAACTACTGGTAGCCACTGTATTAGTATTGCAAAAGGCCAAAAGCGTAAGGTATAGAAAGGCTAACTCACGGGCAAGTGTGGCTTGTTATTGTGCTTCTTCTGCTACTGGTTAAGCGAGTATGCACCGGTGAGGTATTTATAGAGCCGCTGCAACCAGCAGGGGCAGATGCGTACGTGTGTGTGTTCTTTCATCAGGATTATTGGTCTAAAGCTAGGCGGATGTAATTAAAAAGAAAAGAGAAAGATAATGTTGTTGACGGTGCCAAGAAATCGTAGCTGCTCCACCGCTCAGTCACCAATAATGCATCCATTATATTATATACGCACGAGGCACACGAGGTGGCCCCTGCAGCCAGTAGAAAACAAGAAAAGAAAAAGATAGCAACGCTACAGAAACATGCATCCTCCCCGGCAACCAAATAGCTAGTCAGGCAGTCAGCAGCTTCAGTACGCGCAGCAGACACCGACAGAAACTTGACAATTATAGTGAGTTATTAATGGTCCCTCCACGTTTTTCTCGTTATATTCTTCTCCTCTCGTCGACAACTAGCTAGTCTAGGATCAGCTCATCTTTAGCTACATATAGTTGCTCCTGCTACATATCCTTGATGGTGATACATGCCCCATTATCTGTGGATTAGATTCTGAGACGGAAGACCACTTAATCCTCAGGTGCCGCTTCACCAAAAATCAGTGGAACCGGATGGGCTTTGAGACTTAAAACGTCCAGGTGACCTCGCTCTGGAACATCACTCGACCGACCGGATTCCCCACCGCTCACTCAGCAAGTTTCATTCGCCTGATATGCTGGATGTTATGGAAACACAGGAACGATGTGGTCTTCAACGATATGGCGCCCTCGTACAATCGTCTTCGGGGAGCATGCAAAGACGCCGTGAAACCTATGGAAGTTTTGCTTGCCTATTGCTGATCGGGGTGTAGCTGCCCACTGGTGTAACGTAGTTTCCTTATGAATTAAGTCCTACAAAAAACTGTCCTACCCCTCCTCCAATGTACTCTGTCGTATGGAACTGATCAGCAACAAGCTTTTGTTGCTCCAATGCAATCAAGTAGGTGGGGAGTGCTTCTCCCCCCCGATTACCCTAAAAAAAAAATTATTACAAGATCTATCCTAGCTAGAGAGAGATTATTCAGTTAACCTGCATATGGAGAAACCAAGTAACCGACCGCGAATCTATCGACCGACCACTTAAACTGTCTTGTTAATTGACCCCAAATGCTATGCTTGTGGCACAGTGGCAGAATTTTTCTTCCATAAATGTAGTTTTTGTTAACTTTCAATGTCACTGTCATGGACCTGCTCATGGGTTGTCCTCTGGGCCGTTCAACACGTGATGGAGTATGCACTGGGCTTGATTTGGCCCATAGAACTAATAGCAACTTGTTGTACAGAAGGAAAGTGAGCATCAACGCGGAGGGTGTCGGATGACTAGGGAATCTAAACTCAGCGGCGGCAGCAAGAGCTCGAGGCGAGCATACGCTCGATCTATCCCTTTCTCCTTTTCCTTGTTCTATATACTTCATGTGTATGCATTTCCTTGTATCTAGAAGCTTCCAGAACCCATTGTGTGCCACTCAGTGTCCAATCGTTGAGTAATACTAATACTTGTTGGTTCATGACAATCACCAGCTACGTCAAGTTGATATACCATCCTGAAAACCCTTGCCCTGTGCGTATCAAAAAGATTCGCACAGCCTACAAAACTTTTCGGAAACGTACAGACAAAAGACTGTTTGGATTTCCCAAGGGTCTAAAGTTTATTGACTAAATTTTAGATCACTTTAGCTCTCGAGTCAACCAAGATTCGATTATGCTGAACAGCTATTTTATAATGAAAGAAAGTGAAAACAAACAACTAAACCGCTTACATTTATTCATTCGTGCAAGGATGGACGGCATTTTATTTATGCAAGAACGATGCCATTATTTAGTAATAATTTATAGGAAAGAAACACGTACACATAACACATTCATTATCCGGCAGATATACACGGACATGAATACATAGCATGTCCGAGTTATTCATTCTTATAGAATATTCACTTCTGGAGCAAGCAAGGAACGACCGAAGCTAGCTAGGCATCAGCCAGCATCTTATCAGCCGACGCGTGGGGCGTCTGGGCGACGGTGTCGACGAAGATGCGGACGCGGTCGGGG